ATCTTTGAGCTTGAAAGAGAAAGGAAGGCCAATGGCAGGCCAAAATTATTCCAAATGGATTTTTCCTGGCCCATTATCAACAAGGATAGAACCATCAATTGCATAGAAGTTTAAGTCATTTGATATATTATATAAGAATAGTGATATGATAGGTTTATATTTTTGTTAATCATTATATTTATTCATTACATATATTTTAACTGCTATTGGATTGCCATTTAAGAGTCAGTTTTATGCTGGAAACAGCACACAAGTCTGAGAAATAAAAAATAATTTATGATTGTTGAAATGGCTTATAAGCTACTTTGATGGAATATGTGTTCTAAAAGGCAAAATATAAATAATAGTAGAAATAAAACAACATAATATGTGTGTAGAATCATATAATACAACATAATATAATTAAATGCCACACTGCCATCATAATAGGACTTAAGCAAGCTGCTACACTTTTATTTATCCATAAATATATCTGTAGATATACTTATATATCTGTAGATGAAAACAGATGAAAAAGGTTTTATAGCCACAGAACCATTAGCCCCTTTGTCCTATTTCAGTTCATCACTATTATATGCATAATAAAAAAAGATGCCCAAATGCCTGTTCAAAATTAACTGAGGGAGCTTGTTAATTCTCTTTTCTACTACTCAGTCTAGACACTTTGCTTTGGATGTTAGGTTAGATCCTTCCATGAATCTGTCTTATAATACAGAAAGCAAATTCTGTCATTCTACTTGCGTAAGAATTAAAACTATCAGAAATCAGCAATCTGGGAAATGTATCAAGAAGTTTCTAAGGGAGATTTTGAACTATGATGAAGAAAAGAGTAAATCAGAAAGTAAACATTTATATAGGAGAGTACCTAGTGGGAATTTATGTGGAAGAGGAGATGGTAAATGGATTTTATTTTAAAGTATGCCCAATACTTTATGCCACCTGTCCTGTGAGCATGAACATTCAGCATAAAATACTCAAGGGTATCACCAACAGCCATATATCCCTGGTAACAAAATTCATAGGATTTATTGGAATGCTAACTATGTACCAATCTATTTCTAACCTGATTTAGAATGTTAACTAGCAGATTCTGAAATATAGATTAGAGAACAGTCAATACCGAACACTCCAATATTAAATAAGCTTTCCATATACAATAAAGGATTGATTGATTGGTTGAGCTCTAGCCCCCGTTGCATTTTGAAGTATGAGAGAACAGGGAAAGCAAACCCATGGGTCTCCAAATGCTATTAAACCACAACTCCTAATATTCCTCACTATTGGTCATGCTTGGAGGATGCTTGGAATTTTAGTTTAGTAGTCTTTGAGATTCACATGTTTTCTCCTCATAGTCTGTAAAAAATACAGCTTTAAAACAAAATGAGAACTAAGCCTAAGAAAATAGCTTAAACCAGTCTAGCATTCCAACACCAACAACTTGAGAATTGTTATGCTCAGGGCTTTTTTTCTCATAGAACGCCCAGAATGGAGTTCAGGCACCTTTTTTGGATGGAACCTTGTAGGGTGGGCAAGGCGGATTGTATGACATGTGTGAGTTCCGGCACATTTTTTTTTTTTTTTAAGAAAAAAAAGCACTGGTTATGCTTACAGATGGCAGCATCTGGCTGATGTTTCTGACTTTGGAAGCTAAACAGGCTTGGACCTGGTTACTATTTGGGTCACCAGGCTGTAGGCTAGACAAGGATGTCAAAGGCAATGCCAAACCATCCACTTCCTTAAGGGAGTCTTTATCCTTGATAACCATCAGCAAATGGGTACTCCTTTGTAGGCACCATAAAACCTAAAAAGGTTTTGCAGATTAGTAATTTTTCTGAACTTCACAAACCTGGCATAAACACGAGCTACAATGATCTGATAGCAGATATTTTTTCCCCTAAGATTAGCTCGAAATTCGCTTTCCCAAATGTTCACCAGGATTTACCTTAGACCAGGCTGACTCCTGCCAGCTCGGATATTTTTCACCTGCAAAGGTTTATTGAGCAAGCAACTCAGAGCTGTAGATACCCTCAAGATCTGGCCACCCTGCAAGGAAAGCAGATGGTCATAAAATTGGAGCAGTTGTGAAAGATTGGAAAGCCTCTATCCAGGGTCTGTGCCAAGTTCACAAGTCTGTAATGCCCATTTTCAAACAAAGATTGGGGGGGGGAGTGTTAGGGGCTGGTAAGTACAGATGTCATAATACACGTAGGCAGGCAAGCCACTAAGGTTGGAATTCTTAATTTATTCAATGGGAGGCATGCATAAGCGATTCCTGGAGATACCCACTGGGAAAGGAGGATTCCAAAGATTAATATTGTATTTCTTTTTCCAAAGTTAAGAAAGCAGATGGTCATAAAATTGGAGCTGTTGTGAAAGATTGGAAAGCCTCTACCCAGGGTCTGTGCCAAGTTCACAAGTCTGTAATGCCCATTTTCAAACAAAATTGGGGGGGGGAGTGTTAGGGGCTGGTAAGTACAGATGTCATAATACACTTAGGCAGGCAAGCCACTAAGATTGGAATTCTTAATTTATTCAATGGGAGGCATGCATAAGCGATTCCTGGAGATACCCACTGGGAATGGAGGAATCCAAAGATTAATATTGTATTTCTTTTTCCAAAGTTAAGAAGATCCACGGCAGAATGGATCTTCGGGGGGGGGGGAGGGTGTTTAACCAAGTCTCTGTTTCGGGGAAGAAGATATGGGAGTTAACGTCTTCCTGCCAGAAATTAGAAGAATCGCGCCCTTCTTGCTCACTCTCCGACACTCATTCATTCGTTCGTTCATTCATTTCTTGGGAACGTTCGGTTGCGCTCCCGTCCCGAGCCAGAGGCACGGGTTTTGTTTGCCCACGATTCTCTTTTCCGCTAACTCACCCCTTCCATAACGCTGCCATCTATCTCCACTTGGCCTTCGTCGCTCATGGTGGGCCGCCGCTGAGAGGCCGCGTCCTGCGTCCTGTAAGTGAAGAGGCCTCTCCAAGAGATCAACCTCCTCGCTCCCAGGAGCAGCAATGGCGAGGGACCGGAACCCGACCCAAGACAAGCACGGAGAGCGAGAAATCCAGCCACGGCCGCAGCAACGCCACCTCCGCCGGTTTTCTGCCTCTACTGAGAAAGCGGGCGGGGAGCAGGCGCAGAACAGGCCGGACTCCGCTGCTGCTTCTGCGGCGCTCGGGAACTCGCTTACTCCAGTGGCTTAGAAAATAAGAGAGCTTCGGCTGCCAAGTGATTTCCATATTCAACTTTTGGGAAATTTTTCCCCGGAAGGCTGTTATTTTTTTCTTCCTAAATGTATTTAAATTTCTCTTCAACCATAGCTCGACTGAATCGTTACGCATAATGATTGCTTGTCAATCCCCAATGAGGTGTGTTGAATAAACACAGTTGTAGGACTGCACCAATCAGAAAAAGATATTGGACGGGAGAAAATTGTAGCAGATTAGATGGATGGATGGATGGATGGATAGATAGATAGATAGATAGATAGATAGATAGATAGATAGATAGATAGATAGATAGATAGATAGATAGATAGATAGATAGATAGATTCTGGCTCTAGGATATGGACTAGGTAGGTAGGTAGGTAGGTAGGTAGGTAGGTAGGTAGGTAGATGGATGGATGGATGGATGGATGGATGGATGGATGGATGGATAGATAGATAGATAGATTGATTGATTGATTGATTGATTGATTGATTCTGCCTCTAGGATATGGACTAGGTAGGTAGGTAGGTAGGTAGGTAGATAGATAGATAGATAGATAGATAGATAGATAGATAGATAGATAGATAGATAGATAGATAGATAGATAGATTGATTGATTGATTGATTGATTGATTGATTGATTCTGCCTCTAGGATATGGACTATGCAGTTTGCCTAAAAAATCTGTATGGCCTGGAAGCTTGCATCCGTTTTATCCATTTTATAGGTGAGATATATTCATACACATTCAGAGAAAAAGACAGCGTATGTATGTACATACATAGAAACAGACACCAGGCAACTTCACGGGCAGTAGGGAGATGTCCCGCCATGTGAAACATTATTTCCCAACCAGGTGAAGCTGGACCCATCCCTGTTAATTTTAAGTCCCTCCAAACTTGGTTATATCATCAGGCTTGGAGATCTCAAGAGAATGATGAGCTAATGAGATGACTCCGTTGACTGTAAACTCCGATGCTCTCTTCTTGTTTTTGATGGTCGATTGTTTCATAAAGCAAATCATTCATTTTACCAAAGAAGGCAGCTTTTCACGTTCTAATTGGCCAGCGGGAGGAAAAGATATGATCCGATTGGCTGATAAAGGGGAGGAGTGGGAAAGGCGTGGGAAACTCTCCTTCCGGAATAAGATGGCGGCAACGATTGCATTGAGGAGCAGCTGCAGAGCAGTCCGGCGTTTGGTGAGTAGTAGTGAGCGGTGGGAGAGCTGAAAAATGTAAGAAAGGAGAACAAGTAGATGCTTCGTAGGTCCTGCTTGTTTCCATTTTTTCTCTAGAGAAAACAAAACTGAAAGTATCTACTTGATCCTCTGCCTATTTAGCAAATGCAGTAAATCGTTGGCTCTGTTCTTTTCCAATTTGAGATGAATTTTTGGATATTTATTAAGAATTAGCCACGCAGTCAGCATAATGAAAGGACTGCAAGTCATCCACGGTTGTGGCCTCTTTGCCATATTCATCCTTCCAGAAATAAGCTTCAGTGCGGTGCATAAATATAAGCAACTTTGTGATTTGATATTCTATCTTGCTAATTTCTATGGTTTCGATGCTACCAAACCTGTAAAAAACATTTCTATATTATATCTTATTCATGCAGTTTTTTTTAAAGTTATAGAGTTTTAATTCATGGCTGAAATGTTTTCCAACAGCTGTTTGCCTGGAATGATGCGGACTTTCTCCCCCCTATCACAGATGTGTTGATTTAAGACACTTTCTCAGAGTTTTTGAAGCAGTTCAGAAGCAGCCCTGGGTCTGTGCAGTTCCCAGTGTTAGTATTTTTGAGAGCTAAGGAATCTTTTTTTGTTTTTGAAACTAAAGCAAAGCTGGTTTTCTTTTGGCAATACGCAACTGTACTGAGCTTTAAGAAATCTTGTTCTTTCAGAGATAAAGCTAATTTTGAAATTCCCTAAGCAATTGCTCAGGGTTTTTACTTATGGTTTGAGCAATAAATCACACATCAGGTGGGAGTAACTTGGGAGAAGACTGATATCTCCAGACTGACATCTATATGTGTATTCTCAGCATGTTTAGATTCATGGAAGAACAGAGCACAGTTGATCATTTTTGAGTTGTTTTTGATGGACTACTAAACGGTGGAAACAGAATGTTGGAAAGCTCTCCAGTTCCCCAAGGTTGTTCTAGATCTGAGTTTTCAGACCTTTTCAGGCTGCATAACCTATGTTCCAGATTTTTTTTTTGCTGAAAATATATTCTGCTGGCTGTTTTTTTGTGTGTGATCTAAAAACTGAGTGTTTCTAGTTCAAATGTAAGCACATAAGATTGCCTAAAATAGCTTTAGCTATAGCTGAGTTTCTCAGCTTTATGGTATCAGTTGTCTGCTTCTACCTTTCAGAAGTCTCCTTATAAAATTGGACAACCTGTGACCTGTTAGGTCCTCCTTTCAGCGATATTTCCTTACCTAAACCTTTAGAGAAACAGAATGATCACAGTTGGGCAAAAATAGTGCGAGTGTGACTTCCAATTTCCTGCTGTCTTCCCCATTGATGTTGCTTGTGGAAAGCTGGCAGGGAATGTTGGAGATCCCTTCTCAGATGAACTGCCTGCCATTTTGTAGAGGGGAGGGGAAATAAAGGTAACCATGGATCATGAACAAAACTGTACCCCTACTCCCCAGCCTGGCATGTCCCTAAAGATCACCTCCATCCAGGAAGGAAGAGAGCTCTCCCATTGGCCTTTGGCATCCTGCTCCCAGCCAGCCTGACCTTGCCAACAGGCATTACTCCCTCATCCTTTTCTCACCACTTACTACTGTTAAGAGATATAAAATTTTATTTTCTGTGCCAAAGCAGTTAATTACTGCTTGCCTGTTGAGCTTTACTATCGGCCGATTGGGTGCAGGGGAATGAGGGGGGACAACTCTGTTCTTGCCTTGTGCCATGCAACCTAACAGGTTTCTGGGAAGTGTAGTCGGAAGACACAGTCTTTTGAAGCAGCTTCAACGTTCCCAAATTTCATTCCCACTGGAGTCATGAGAGCTGGCATTCTGTAAGTTAGCCTGTTTGAGTTATTTTGGTTCAATAATTGTTGCCTTATATTATACCTTCCAGTTTTGCCCAGTTTATAGTTACAAACAGACACAAGATTTTTAGTAGTATATAGATGCGGTTTGAGCACTATAACGGTTTACAGATCTGAAAAGGATCCAAGGGCTGGTAGTCCTTTTGTGTTAATAAATGCAAGTTGTGCAGTTGTGATTACTTGCTATATTATATCTTGGGTTGCTAAATGCACAATCTTGGATTATTAGTTCTCCACCTTTGAAGGAAGTATGTTCTTGATAATAACTTCCATCCTTGTGTGACATCTTTACAAGGTTCCTTTTTATCTATAATTGTGGATTTCTTTATTCCAATTTTGACTTTCAGATTTGCTTTTCACTAGATGTAGATTGCCTGCCAAAGTGACATTGAAGTTCTTCTAGTCACCCTGGCTGACTGCAGTAATCTTTTTAGGTAAAAGGTAACCTTAAGCTTCATATCAGAACGTTAGTTGTATAGCAGAACATTCAATAAACAGGTTTAAACAGGCTTACGAAGCAGACATTAGAGGTCATATCTAACCAGAATCATCATAAAATTATCCTACTAGGATACTTTATCATCTAATTTGGAAAGATAGCGCTATTTATTTTGAGCACTAAATTTATCGGAAGCTTCTATTTCACTTCCCATATAACATGTTATCAGTTTAAATTTTGTTCTGTTTTAAATCAACAAGAGGGATACTTCTCTCTCCCTTCCTAGCTCACTTTTTCACATATTCTTTTAGTAATATGAACTCTTCCTAAGAATTACTTAATTCACAATTACTTATTCTTTGGTATCATTCATAAATTCAGGTACTCTTACATATGGAACTCAGATAAATCCTATATTCAGCAAGAGATAAATCCTTTTTTATTCAGCATGCCATGTTCAAGGAAGAAAAAGAAACAATCTCATTTTTTATCTTTTTTGCATAAATCAAAATGATGTTTAAAATATGTGAAATTGTGGTAATAAACATTTGATACCCTAAAAGTTTGGAGCAGTTTAGATGAGGTTTCAAAGCATCATCCAATCTAAACAGTCTTCAGTACCAGACACTGAATCAAAGCTGCATATTAGGGCCCTCCTCTTCTCCGGAATGGAAGATTGGAAACAGTGATGGAAACTGTCCCCAACATTGGGTTCCCCAGGTCTCAAATAGGTGATGATCCAGCTTCTCACCTCTTTGAGACCTGATGAAACCCTCTCCTCTGTCATTCATTCATCCAGTCGTCATCATCTGGATCCAATTACATGTCTCCTGGAAGGCCTTAACCCACCAGGAAGAACATGACTGTAATATACAGGTGGTCCCACTTAGAGCCTGAAGAACTCTATCCGCTTCCTTGGGGCTGATAGGCTCAAATTCTTCTCAGATAAAAGGGATATTTCAGCATTTAAGCTACTAAATGCACTAAACCAGAGGTCCCCAACCTTTTGGGCACCAGGGACCGGTTCCATGGAGAGAGATTTTTCCGCAGACAGGAAAGTGTGTGGTTTTGTGTGCTGCCTGCATCCTGCAGATGGGCTTTGCTTGTTTGTGTGGACTGGTTGCTGGCATGCCGCGGCCCAGTACCGGTCCACGGACCAGGGGTTGGGGACCCTTGCACTAAACTGTCTGCAGTTACAAACTGCTTTTTGTTACAAACTGCTTTTTCTTTTACCAATTCTTATTTTAAAAAATAAAGACTTACATTTTTCTCAGTTCCCGAGAACTTTGTGTAGGTTTTTTTTGGCAATGGTATCAAAGTGTCTTTCCATCCTTTTTGTAGGCTTTCTTTTCAAATCTCCCAATGAAATTTAAAACCTTTCCGTTTTCTTAGGGTTTTTTAAGTGGTGA